CTCTCTCCTTAACATCAATTAAGGAGAACATCAACTAGTCTATAAAAAAATAAAAAATAAATAAAAAAAATAAAAAAGAAAGAAAGACCTTCTCTGAACACTTTATTAAAATAATTTCATTAGCTGTTCTCTCTCTCCTTAACATCAATTAAGGAGAACATCAATTACTATATGACATTGTTTAACATATTTACTATATGAACATCAATTACTATATGACATTGTTTAACATATTTACTTGCTGATATGTTTGTTCCTTTGCCTTCTACTTGAGAAAATAAATTGTTCTAGGGTAGGGAGTTTCTTTTGTTTTCTACCGTACCGTCTAGGTCTAGATTAGTGCTTAGTTGATTGCTAAATAAATGTTCTTTGAATAAATAAATTTATCCTCTCAACAATCTTAGGAAGGGAGGGATTGAGATCTCCTTTTTATATATGAGAAAATCAAGGTTAAGTCACTTGTCCCAGATAAAGAAACTATCAAATGGATGGCTCATGGTTTTAATAGATTTCTGACTTAAAGTTTTTGGCATTTTGTTACAGCAGTTTTCTTAGAACCATAGGGTACTTTACATGTAAAACAGAACACATAGCTATGTTCAATATAAGAAGCATAAAGGAATGAATGATTTCCTAGGGATTTAGCTGTGTTGTTAAAATTTTACAAAAAACATTTTTAAAAGATAACACTTGCAAGTATTAGCACACCGGGGATTCTTCTGCAAATGTTGTTGAGAAAGTTCTTACTTACTCATCTAAGAGGTGGGCAGATAACCTTTCTAGGCTGACTAGTATTCCATCACTGACATTTTAAAATCCTTGATGTTTTGATCTTTTCTCATGTAAATCAGAGTTTCCCAGTTTATGGAATTTTAATTAAGAAAAGGTTGATAATAGACCCTACTTTATATCTGAGCATACTTTGAAGTACTCTGTTGCCAAAAAATAGATCATGAGTGACTGGTCAAAAGGAGACCCCTAAATTAAGAAAATAGAAGTAAATTCAGTATTTGTTTGTAAACATATATATTCAAAGGTGTCAGGGGATTACAGCTTTTAGAGGCTCCATTCTCTAGCTTTCCTTTTTTACCATTTATGTCATTTGTGAGTTTCCACAGGCTCTTCAAATGAGCCCAAGGCTCTCCCTAACCACCACACTGAATGTCACGGTTGACCTAAGAATAATAAGCCAATTGACTGGTTGATTGACAGGCAGAATCCAAATTTGCAGGAACATTTTTCTGAACTCAAAATTCTAGACATTTCACTTAATAATTCCAAATGATCTGTCTCTACCTAGGTACTTATTTCTGATTTTGTATATTAATAGTCACATGATGGTGATGTGATGCTTTTCCTCATTACTGACAGGTCACTGTTGACATAGAAGATGAGAATGATGAAGCGCCAGCCTGCACTCCCTCTCTCTATAAGGCCGTCATTTTTGACAATGCTGTTGCTGGGATGAATGTCAATGGCTTCCAACTAAACTGCCACGACAGAGATTCACAAGATTTTGAAATGCGCTTTGAGATGGTTTTTGGTGACAATTTTGTAATTTGTTTTAATCACGAGCATGTATCAAATTGACATTAGTCATGCTCTCTTCGATATGATAGGGCTTTAGAAATAACTACGGTTATGAAGGTTACAGCATTATGTTTCCTCAAGGAAGCTGTTCATTTCACACGAACAGTTCATTCCTTCTCTGATGGGACTATCTGTAATTTCAGTGCTATTTGACAATGAAGAGATTTGAACTTGCTTGGGAAACACTGGAAATTAAGTTTCAAGCAACTAAGTCTGCTTTCAGTGGGACTAGCTGAAAATAGCAGTTACTTTCCACATGACATTAATTCAGATTCACTAGATAGATGTTTTCAACTGTATTATAGTTGGAATCACATAGCTCCAAACCCACTTTAGTCATCATAGAAGGAATTTATTGGAAATGCGTACTAGGAGATAGCTATACCACTGTTCCCTAAGTCAGATAAGGATCCTATATCATGAACTCACTAAGTTCTTACTAACATAAACAATTATCAAATTATAAAGTATGACAAATTCTATAGAGGAAAGCTGAGTACATTGAGATGGTATACTAAGGGGAACCACTTAAGGCAAGACCTGCTGTCGGGAATCTGAAGGAATGGCTGTGTGGACCTCAGCAAACTCAATATCAGTTAAAACTAGTTAGTTGTCTGCTTCTATGGCTGGGTGACAAATTTCAAGAAGACAGGGACTAAGTGCATCTTGTTTGCAGCAGTCTTACCACAGCGGAGAAGATTTGAAACTTAGTAGGGCTCAGTAGATATTTGTGATCTCATTGATGCATTTGATACTGATTTAGACCAAGCTGCAACTGGGTATATAACTGCTCTGACAACACAAGCAAGAGAAGCAATTAGGCAGAGTGACTTGGTAACAATGTGGACCTTTGGACCACGTCTGGGAATAAGATTCATAGACTTAATCTTTAAAACATTTTTTTCCCCTAACTGATGGAATTTATTGAGTATTTGATCCCTTGGTCATAATAATAATTTACTAAAAGCTTTATATAGAAAGAGAAATTCAGAGGGTGGTGGAAATTTTATTTCTAGGGCTATTGCATTTCAAAAATAATTTAAGGTAGTTTGAAAAAACCTTTCACTAGCTCTGAAAATAATCATTTTTTTAAAATTATTCCTTTTAAAGGCAATGAGAACAATCATTTTGGATTTGACCCAACTCGAGGCTCAAATACTCCAAAATTAATTGTGAAGAACCCCTTTGAGTCCGGAGCTGAACAGCAGCGGAGGTACCATCTCGTCGTGCACATCATTGATGACAACCTGAAACACGGAAAAGCCACCAAGCCGAGGACAGGCACTGTGGTGATAGATATTTATGTGCAAAGGGCCAACCCGCCACCTCCTCCAACCACCAGTTCTGAAGTAAAAAGTTACAGAGTTTAATTGGGGTCTGAGTGTGGGAAATACTCTATTGCAAATTCTAATTTCATCTGCAAAGGCTGAGAGACTGCTCAGGGTAGCATCTTCGCCTAGATGCCATTCCAAATGTGCATTGCCCCATCCAGCTGCCAGGCCACCTTTTAGAACACAGATCTGTGTATATAATCTGTGATCATTACAAGTGGAACCTAGAGGACCCCAAAGGACTGATGATACCTCAACAATCTAAAAGTCCTTCCCACAAAAAGGCCCACTAGTCAATGAATCCTATCACTTAAAAATCTCTACAATTGGAGAGTTTCAAACATCATTTACTACATGGCTTATATTTATCATTTCACCTAATCTCTGATCTAATCCTGAGAAGGTTAGCAAGCCTGTCGGCATTTTATTTTTTCCAAAAGTAGATCTATAAAACTTTTTCAAATTCCATAATGGTTTTTGAGTCACCCAAAAGATTAAGAGTATACTTGGTAGATTTTATCTGTATTTTATTGTTTTCTATCCTTCCAAAAAGAGTTTTTTTTTTAACTCCATAGATTTTTACATCTTTCCACTAGAATATCTGATTTTTGAGAACATGCTGTTCTCTAAAGCTGCACAAAAGGGTAATCATGTGTAGAAGATATATATAATAGAAGCATATAAACCCAAAACAAAGTTAAATATCATCTAGTTCATCCCTTTAATTTTACAGATGGGAAAACAGAGGGCAAAGAGGAGAAATGTTTTTCTTCACGTTCCCAGAGCATCCCCTGAATATAATTCAAGTCTTCAGATCCTGAAATTTGCACCTAACATGCTGGGGTGACCCTCAGTAACACCTGTAGTGTTAAGAAAAACATCCATATATCTGAGTCAACACCCCCATAGCTGGTAGAGGACTGCAGCATGTTCTGATGCTATTCTGTGTTAACAGATGCTCTCAGAAAATACAAACTAATGCTCTGTTTGCTTTGAAATAATATTCCCCAGCAAAGGAAAGGTCTGACCATTGTGTACACAGCTATCAACACATACAAGTCCAGTGACTGGTACATTCCTTTCATCTTCACTCTGATGGCTGTTTTCTTTGTTGGGTTGATTTCCTGGGTATGTTTTCTACTTTGGAGATATGGAAACATTATGGAATGCTGTCAGAAAATGGTCAAGGATGTCTCCAAGCCCAAATCCAAGTATGTGAATTTTCTTTCTCAGCTTCTGATATAAAGGGTTTTGGTGTTTAGTGATCTTATTCTGAAGGCTTCTACCAAACTTTGCTTTTAAGAGACACAGTGAAAGGACTTAGTCCAGTTTATGTGCTCCAATAGCACCCTAACTTAGAGATGGGGTGGGGGAGCTTGCTTAAAAAAAAAAAATAGCAACAATACATTCCTAGGTCCAGAAACAGATTTTCTTTGAGCAAAGTTTTTTTTCAAGCCAGCCAACTTTACATATTAATTTGATGTGAGCTGCTCATGGGCACTGACACTAACTTAGACACAGATGACAAATGCAGGTATTCTCTCCATCCTTGTTTGAATCGATGTGACACTAGGCAGAAAGGCCAAAGAAATGGAAAGAAAACATGGCTGTGCCCATCTCCATCCAAAAATAGTTCTTCAGGGTGTAGCAAATCATGACTTCAAAACAGAGTTGGATATGAATTTTTATTAACTTAGTGAAGATAATTCATGATCTCTCGAGGGGGCTGGTGATGGTGAATGAGGCCAATTCATTATTCCCCATCGCACACCTTGCAAATGGGAAGTGGGAGAGATGTGATAATAACCTTGTGCTGCAAGACGGTGGTATACTTTGGAGTCATATGTTAGCATAATGAGACTGATATTTTGTCAAATTTTCTTTTCATGCAGACACATAAAGTATACTGCAGGTAAGATACAGATTTCTAGTTGTCACCTTTTTAAAATTGTGTGATTTTAAAAAGTCACTCATCTGATACCTGCCTTTTATTTACTTATGTATTTGAAAAGGAGATATAAACCAGAAGGAAAACATAATCTCAGGAAGCAGAAATAAAAAACTAGAAGTACTAACTGTAAGTACATTTTTGTGATCCTTCTACAGTAGAAAAAAAAAAGAGAACTAGCTCCATATTTCCTTTAATTGTTGCTCAATGAATAGTATCTAAATATAGGGAATCTACTCAGGCATAATAGAAAGGAAATGAAATTCTTGCAATTTATGTTTCTGTTGAAATTTTATGCACTACAAAGCTAAATTTCAGATCCAGTGTTCGAATTTGGTTTACCTCAAATGTTGTATGTATGTTTCACAAACAACTGTAGACACATGAAAAGCCAGCATTATGTACCATTACTTTAAAATAAGGTCTTGATTTGGTAACATATTATAGATGTGATAGAGCTGAGTAAATTCTTCAACCCTGGAGTTTCTCAGTAGCTGGTCAGATCAACACCCTAGAATATGTAAACCACCCCACAACTGACACTTATTAATTACAACTGCAGGAGAGTAAGGTTGGTTCTAGAAAGTGTAAGTGTGGAATAAGAAAGAGCACTTTCCATGTTCAGCTCTTCTTTCTCCTTTCCACCTGCAACCGCATTCATCAGAACATTCCCCTTTGGTCTTGACAGACCTTGGCATTGATACATGAGTGGTCTCTTTCAATGCCTCTTTTCCCTGCCTCTTCCTTAGGTTAGCTAATCTGTATTAGTTCTGGCTGCTGTAACAAAATTCCAAAGAACGAAAATTAACTTTCTAGTATTTTTGGAGGCTGGAAGTCCAAGATGAAGGTGTTGGCAGCTTTGGTGTCTCCCTGGTTATGGATGGCTGCCTTTTTCTTGTGTCTTCACATGGAAGTCCCTTCACTTATGGTGTCAGAGTCCAGATTCTGTTCTTGTAATACCACTGGACATATTGAATTAAGGCCTACAACAGAACCTCGTTTTACCTTAATGATCTCTATAAAGGACCTATGTCCAGATACACATTTTGGGGTACTGGGGCTTACATCTTCAACATAAGAATTTGGGAGCAGGCATCTCCCTAGTGGTGCAAGGGATTAAAACACAGCACTATGAAAATATCCAAAGCCATTGCAGCAAGAGTTCTATCCCCGGCCAGGAAGGTGACCCACATGGCACAGCAGATCTCTCCTGACCTGTCTGTTGCTCCCCTCAGCAGTGTGTTTCAGTAGATCTGCCTGTTGTGCTCCCCATTCTCTCTGGTGAATTCTCTCATCCCCCCTGTACCTCTGGCCTGTACCCAGTTCTTGTGTGCATAAATAAATAAACCTTTAAAAAATAGAATTTGGGGTTATCTGCTTAAATATTCAGTGCAAATCAAAACTGCTTTTTATCCTATTCCCTTTCTTTTCCTCTTCTCTCTTTCCTAACTCCCTGCCTGTCCTGCTCCCCACTCCCTTCCTTCCCCCAGTAATCAGCATATTTTTCAGTATAAGAATTGAAACACATGCACATATGGAAGTATGAAGTTGTACACACCATATTATATAGCTATGTAAATGACTGACAAATCAATCAACTTTGAAAGGAAAAAGATAAAAAGGAATAGCAAACAAAAAAACACTAAATAGCTGCTTTATTGCTAACATTTTGTATTTTTAAGGAAACCATTGTGTATGAGACTGTGTTTGATGGGGAAGCCGTTGATCCAGGTATGGTGTTAAATTTTTTAAAAGTTAAGACTCTTTTGCCTATTTGGAAAGTGAACTGTATAAATAGATTATTTATTCATTACGCTGTGCATAATGAGACTCTGTTTTGAAGCAAGTCATTTAAGGACCAGGCAGGTAAAATATCTGACTGAAAAGGGCCATATTTGACAGTGAGCAAAATAGTCAATGGCAACTAAGGGACATGTTATTACTCAGCTCCTTCAAATTACTGCCATGTTGGGAATAGAACTGAAGTTGCTGTAGTTCTGATGTGTCAAAAAAAAAAAAAAAAAAAGCTAGAAAACCAAACGTTTACCTGAAATCTGAAAACATTTAAATGCAGGTAACTTAATTAAAGCAAATTTCATTGTACAGGAAAATTACAGACATTGCCCCTCTCAGGTCTGTATTGTTAGTTGACAATGTAAAGTGACATTGTGAGGGCCAGAACTGGAAATTGGCACAGTGCCACTCCCACTACAGGTTGAAACAGCCAGTTGACTCAGATTCAAAGAGACACACATAACCCCCCCCCCGCTCAGAAAGGACAAGAGTCTAAGAATTTGTAACATCTTCAACCAGTCACAACAGCTATAGAACAGATGAGTCATGGGATGGAACATGGCCTGAAGGTCTAGCTCTTATGAATCTTGAAACTACAAAGCAGGTTATACTTCCATTTTATGAATTACTTCAGAGATTTGCCTTTATTTCATGCATTTTTTTTCCCTGAAAGGAAGGGGCAAAAATAGGAAGTCATCACACGTATTGTTAAAATCCAGGATGTGGAGTTATAAAATTTAGTTTGAGCATTGACACATGTAAAAATTTCTTTGTAAAGTTGCATTCACCTGGACTTACTGGTGCTGTAACAACTTGTGACATATTTGAGCAAGTCAAATTCTGGTAGCTCTGATGTCTTTGTGTGACATTATGGATACTTTACTACTGATGCTAGTTCTACTAGAAGAAACCTTACCTTTATACTAATTTAAAAACATACTACTGTAATCCTAATCTGATCTGTATTAAACTGGGCCTCTGTAAATACCAATTTCAGGGAGTTCTTGAAAGTACATATGTACCTCATGGAATATTTATCTATACCACATATACTTATCCCAATTAATCCTCATAATAACCTTGAGATGAAGAGGCATTACTGTCCTCATTTTATGGATTTTGAAACAAAAGTCAGAAAGTATAGGAATGGTACAAAGTCACAAATTAGGTTTCTTTCTTTTCATGAAAAAAAGGAAGAGAGTCAGTGGAACTCTTTAGACCAGTACTGAATCTCGTGGTGAACAGAGGCTGATGAGGAGGAAGTAGGTAGGTGCTCTGCTTTAAGAGCAACGAGCAGACTGTCATGGATCCACAAATTGTAGAGTGTCTTGGACAGATATGGAGGTAATTATAATAGTCACTGCCTCATAAGCAATTGTGAGGATAAACAATGCTTGTTGTTGACAGAGTGGCCAACCTGACTATTGTTATCAAAAACAATAAAAATTATCCTATACATTTTTTTTGTTTCCCTCTAAAGTTTAAAAAATGTGTATTTAGCGTTTGTGATGTATCAGGTTTGTTGTAAGCATTTAATCATTATTAACCTAACCTTTTATTATGTTAAATGTGTGTGACAGAAAGTTTATACTTCTAGTTCTACGGTTCTGTGGCATTTTGAAAAGTGCAGTCATATTGCGCAACTGTCGCCACTTTCCAACTCCAAACTGAACACTTCCCCCAACTGAAACTCTGTATTCATTGAACACTAACTCCCTTGTCCTTCCTGTTCCCATGCTCTAGCAACCACCATTTTATTTTTCTGTATCTATTAGTTTGACCACTTAGGAAATTCCTAAGTAAGAAGAAACAAGTAAGTGGAATCAAACAACATTTGTTCTTTTGTGACTGTGTATTTCACTAAATGTAATGTTTTCAAGGATCATCCATATTGTAGCATGTGTCAGAATTTCATTCCTTTCTAAGGCTAAATCCTATTCCATTGTGCTTAAATACCATATTTGATTCATTCTTTCAGCCAAGGATTTGCTTCCATCTTTTGACTATTAATGCTGCTATTCAACCCTATTTAATTTTAACCATGAAAGATTTTATAATTGTACACGGAAAGATTTTCTATTTAATTTTGCAGCTGTAAACTTACAATAAGACATTTTGGGACATTTATAATATCATATCTTAGCAAACAGCGAACTTTTAGTCTGATCAAAGTATTTTTACAAGCATTGTTTATCCTCACGATTGTTTATGAGGCAGTGACTATTGTAATTACCCTCACTTACCAATGAGCAAACCATGGCACAGAGAGACAAGGTAACTTCCCCAGAGTCACAGTGAAAGAGCCAGGATTAAAATAAAAGGAGTAATACTCAACCCAACACTATATATAACATGTCCTGCCAATGGTCTGGTAAAAACCAGGGCATCAGTAAACACTAGACCCTTGACTTCTCTGCTCTATAAAATAAAAATAAACAAAGCAAAGTAAAACAAAACAAAATATGACATGATAAAGACAATGGACATCATTTGATATTCATGGCCTTCGGGCTTCTCGTTATCCAGGACACAGCTACTATGTGTTCAGACCAATGCAGTTGGCTTATTATTTTTTTTATTATTATTAAAAAGTTTATTTTTACATCATTTTGCACATTTTTTTTTCCATCTCAATTGTAATCCCCACGGGTTTCCCATCACCAAATCACCCCTGTG